GTAATTCTTTTTCATTTATATGCTTCAAACTAAGAGTTTGGATGGGATTAGATGGGATATCCACCAGTCAAGGTGGCTGAAGTAAAAATTAGCTTCTGCAAAGATTTTAAAGAGACCATATATGAAGATGGCATGACAAAAAAATTAATCAGAATTTGATGGCAAATTCATTTCTATTTGAATACATATGATGACAGAGATGACAAACTAAGCAAATGTTACTAAACATATTCCCACAAAAAAAAATATGACTTGCAGTATGTAGATATATACTTTTCTGTTTAGAGTACCTGGCTTTACGTTACAAATTTAAGACAATACAATGCCATCAAAGATCCTAAAACACAGTTTTCTGTTAAAATGTTAGCTATTTGGTTGCTCTCTTTAGCTTTATAAACTATGTATTTCTGTTAAAATTGATGACTTTGCTATTATTGAAGATTCTGAACAAAATTAAGCATAATCTAAGCAAATGTACTAAATAAGAAATAACAACTAATCCTTCTGTGTGGGCAAGGATGCAGCGTTTGAGGGTTTTTTTTTTTTTTTGGTTTGGGTTTTTTGGTTTTTGTTTTTTCATTCACCAGCAGCCTATGTGGCATCCTACAAACAAACTGGTGGATAACTGCAACCTAAAATTTGTGTGGTTATAACTTCCCAAAAGAAGATGAAGGAATATCTGAAAATATGAGATTCAGAAACGATCAGTTACTTGCTGTTTATTTCAAATTCCGTATTTTTCATTTTTATAAATTCTGATTGCATGAATAGAGTCTTTAACATTCTGTAAAATTAACCCATATTTCCCTATTTATATTAACCCATGGAAATCTGTAAGACTATAAACTTTGTATGCAGTTAACCTTTAAACATTCAAAACTCACTGAACACTTATACTAGGGGGGATGGCCTTGAGACTTGAAAGAAGAAAGTTCAGGATATAAATGGAATAGAATATAATCCAGCTTCAATTTTTTTTTGTTGTTTGTATCTCTACATGAACAACAAAATCCTTATTTCATTGATGTCTCCATTCACATGGGTCAAAATGAGCAGAAAATGTAATACCTTGTACCAAATTCCATTCTATGATTCCATTACTCATTTGGATCATGGGGCATTAAGTGTGGTTTCTGTATATGATAGAATAGTTTCTGAGATGGGTATATCAAATAAAATATTGAGGAAATACAGATTTACAACACATCTAACCTTGTAATCTGAACTCTGCTTATCTTTCTAGTATTATTTTTGCCTTTCTCTGCTTTCCCACTCAATGCCATACTTTTACTGAAATAATTTTTGTACATGAGCAATGTTCTCTACACATTCTCTGCCATTTTACAGCATACTACCTCTACCTGACCCACTCCACTCTCAACACACCCCCAACATTCCCCATAATGCACTCTTTCCTGGCTTAGTTACCACTGATTTTCAGCTCAGATGTTGCTTCCTTCTCTGTCCCATTCCCTGCCCAGGGTGGGTCAGTTGTCCCTCAAGATAACACTTGGACACATCTCCTTCATGGCACTAAGCACATATTATTTTAATCTTAGAGTTCTTGTTTCTCTGGATCAGAAGGCAGAGAATGTATCTCATACATTTTTACTCTGAGCTCCAAACCGTTATGTAACTGTGTAATACATGATGATGAGTACACAACAAGTGATTAGTTAATGAATGAGCTCGAATGCATAGGTGAGAGCACAAGCGGTGTCCAGACAAAAGACAGGAATAGTCAATTCACCCAAAAGGAAATAAAATTAATTAAACATACCTTGTACCTTGTTTACCAAACAAACAGAAGAGGTGAAAATTAAAACAAATTTGTGTTCAGTAACCTATTCAGAGAGAAACTATATTAATGGCATTATTCAATGATAGTAATTCTGAGATAAAATGGGATAGTCATAGATTACTAGTGGGAATGTAAATGAGAATTTTTTTTTTTAATTATAGTAATGAATGCTGAGAACCGTAAGAGTGTTGAAGGCCATTTGACCCACTTTGGGAATTTATCATCATCAAAGGAACCAAAAGAAGGAAAACTTTTATCTCCAAGTCATATCCATAAATTCCAGACACATCTACCCAGCTGTCAATTCAACAGCTCTACTAGGGCATTTGGCAGGCACTCAAACTCAACATATTTGAAATTAAACCCATTCCTGCCTGGAAACTTGGCTCCTAGTTATGAGCTAGAGAATATTCTTTTTTAGTTAACAGAACTACCATTCACTGAATTGTTGATATGGGAAATCTGGGAAATATCTTTTAATCCCTCCTCTCTACTTCACTTGGCTCATCCAATTAAATATAAAGCCCTTATCCACTTTACCAACTCCAGTTCCTTCTTTCTGTCACCTCTCTTACTACCTTATG